AAAGCACTCGTCGTCGAAATGCGGTTCGTGCCTTAATAAACTCCGCAAGCGGCCGCGTATTGAAAATTTTCAATAATAATCAAGCAAAAAGCAACAACAACAACAACAACAACAACAAGAGCTATTAAATTTTATATATATAATCGTGTGTATATTGGAGAAATAACAACTTTGGATGGATGGCGTTATACGTATTATTGATTTAAACATCAAGATAAATTACATTGGACTCTGCCTTAGACCAAGACGCAGAGCCAGCAGATCGCATTAGAAGGCGTATTACATTTATATACATATATAATACACTCAAAGAAAAACTCAATTTTAAAGTTGATAAAAGGAACTTGAGTTGTTTAAATTTGAAGTTCTTTTATTGAACTTAAATAAGATTAAGTTAAGCATAAACGAATTTTGATAAAAGTTTATTATAAGTTGGCTCAGCATCGAGCACTCAATCAATCTTATTCAATCTTAAATAATACTAAATCAGGCATAAACCAATTTCGATTAAAATATAAATGAATAGTGTGCAAGTCTTAAGTTAAAATAATGCAAACAAGCATTTCCAGACTTGAAATAAGTATTAAAAATACTTAAGTCAAACATTTCTAATGCAACTTGTATATAGACATTTTTGACTTTAAGTAGAATTTTGTTGTTAGGCTAAAAAATTTAACAGCATTCTTTATTTCATATTATAAAATTTTAAAGATTTCTCAATGGAAGATTTTTGCTCATAGGCTGAGAAAATTCAAGCTCGACAAACTTAAACTAAGTACAAAATTTAGAAAATTTGCATTTAGGCAAAATAGGCTTAAGATGTTGCATGATTAACTTTTTAGTTTTGTCTCAAGCTAAGACATTTGGAGCTTGAATTAAGCACAGAAATGTTGGTATGTATTTTCTGCGAGTGCATTTTGTCGCACCGCAACAGCTCTTTGAACAGTAACGACTTTTTGGCTGACTGCCGTTGTTGTAATTGTAGATAATTGTTGTTGTTGTTGCAGTTGTTGCAGTTGTTGCAGTTGCAGCTGCCTTTTTGTGTTTTTCTTCTTTTTTTTTTTTACAGGCGCTACAAATTTCCAAACCCCACCAGGCACATTTGCGCCAGCGCACGATCCCAAAACCCCTCCCGCCCCTCCCAAAAAAAAAGGAGAAACAAAAACGTAAGCAAACGTACAACCGGCAATTGTAACATCAACATGAGATGTGCCTGGGCACATTTAAGCAGGCAGCTCCAGCCCGTGCCCCAATGCGCAATCCCCCCAAAAAAAAAAAACGAAGCTAAAGCCAGAGCCCGTGCCTGGCTCTGGGTCCGGGGCTAGCTCCTTGACTTGTCGCTCGCTCCAAAACGTCGAATGCGTCTAATTTCTTGAAGTTGCTTTTGGGGCTGCGCAGAGACGCCACCAAATGCTGAATGTCGTGCCACGTACCCCGTGCCCCCTTGCTACCCATTCCCAGACGTCGCCCCGTTGTCGTTTAAATCGTACCACCACAGGCGACATAAAAATAATGAAGTGTGCGGGTGTGGTCGACTCGCTCTTAGCTGGCCCGGCTGTCTGTCTGTCTGTCCGTCCGTCCGTCGGACTGTCAGTTAGTCTCGGCTCTGCTGTGGTCTGGTCTGGTCTGCTGCTTTGGGGCTGACTGGCGATCTGTTGCCTGTTGCGACTGTTGCCAAAGACGTCGAAGCCAACGAGACGTTTGCAGATTGCTGAATCGTGTTTAGCCCAGCGGTGCGCTTGCCATCAAACCCAATAAACATTTCGTCTAGAACTCGGTCCGACTACTGAACATGTTTCAAGTCCAGTTTACGAGTAAGCTTCTAGGTAACCGAAGTATATATTATACCTTAAAAGATTTTTGTTTAATTAAAAAGCAAATTTGGTGGCATAAAATAGCTGAGCACATCAATTTCTAACCCTTTGCAATTATTATCAGATATATATATTTTCTTAGATTTAATTGAAGTGGAATAATTTCCTGGATTATAAGTCTGTGTCTTCAGCTTCTGCTCTTTCTTTAGTGATGCTCAAATAGAACTTCGAGAGGCAAAAAGTGTTTAATATTCTTAAATATTATTGATCAATTTGGAAGCACGATTTCGTTTACCCTTCATTTTGTTCATAGTTTATAATTATAAGAAATATATATATATATATACATACATATATTTATATGACTTGTTTCTCTTGCTTACTTTTAGGGATCAACGTTTTCTCATTACAATTTACATTATGTACTTATTATTATGATTATATCTCATAATATTTTAATTAATATTCTAGTTTTTTTTTAGTATTTTAATAAGCACGAAGTTGGCTGTAATTTTACTTTTCATTATCGTTTGCGTTTCTAACGTTATTTCCAAATTATTATAATTATTTTTTGATTAATTTTATTATTTTTAAAAGTGAGCACTCAGCATGAAGCTTGGGGTTCGAGTCGAGTGCCAAAGGCTGACGTGATTTATAATTTTATTTCAATGCATTTCAAATATAATATACCTATTATTCTTATATCTAATTATATGCTAATTACTTTGTATTAGATTGATGAGCACTGAACACGAGGTTTAGGGCTCGTATATGCCGAAGGCTGACCCGAAATATCATTTCAATACGACTTGTATTTTTAGCACATTTAAATATATATATATATTTTTATATATTACATTTTGATATCTTCTAACAACCATTTTAATTATTTATATATATTTAAATATTTTGAATATTGACGTATATTATACGTAATTAATTAACTTATGTATTTAGTTTTCATTATTTTAATATTCACTAATTTATTAATGAATAGACACCATAATAATATTCTATTAATAAGATTGACTAATACTTGGTTTTAACCATTTAATAGCCCATCCATACTAATTCGAGCAGCAACTCGGTGCTCACCTGGGTCCAGGTGTGCTGCAGGGCGTCAAGAACTTGTCTGGAAATGTGTTCGCTGTGTTATTTGCCCACAAGACGTGAACACACGCCCAACGACTGCTAGAAGTATAACGGTATCCAAGGTTGTGCTACGTTTAAAATGTAATTGTTCGACTTAAAGATCGGCAACAACAACAACAACAACAACAACAACAACAACAACAGCAACAACAACAATTGCAACAACATGAAGAACAACTGTAACGACAAGTTTTGGCTCAGTCTCTAATCAAATACGCGAGCGAATACCAGTCGAAAGGCAGCTCGCAGCTACCCACCTATAAAAGCCCCATGTGCAGATACAGATACATTTGTATCTATAGCTCATGCATATAAATATATATATATATAGATAGATAGATATATGGATAGACACACCAACACAATGCCAAGACAAGCGCCGCACTCGCCGATTTCTGACTGACTTTGAGCTCCGTGCGGGAAATTTTCACTTGAATATTCGACACACTTACCAGGTGAGGCCAGGCGGGTCGGGGCAGGGGGGTGGGGGGGTAGCGGGGCGGGGCAGGCGACTGGAGCCGGCGCACAGCTGGACGCCTTGGCGCAGGACTGTCTGACGGTCGGGCAGTCTTTATTTTGTTGCATGCCCTGTAAACATTGCGAAATGGATGAACAAGACGCAGAGTTGGAGCAGCTGCGTGTCCCAAAATGATATACTATATATATTCCTGATCAGCATCAAGGTTGTGAGTCCATTTAGACGGACATATCTTGTATTTCACGAGCTTATCCGATTTCCTTTGAGCTGTCGATAAGATATTAAGGTTTGCAAGCTAATGATAGGAATCGATAAGAATTGATAATCGATAAATCGATTTTTGGTCTTTTAAGCATATCTCGAGAATTATAAAAACTAGAGACACCAACTTTAGCATGTATTACATCGTAAGGTGTACACTTTGCTCTATACATATCTTTTTTAGATACCTCACACCCAATATAAAAGACGATCGTCTTAAGAGGAAATTAGGCATAGAGTTTTGGTTGTAGGTATGCGCACATATCTGTTAGTCAACAACAAGCTCTGCAAATAGCTTCAAGATCGAACAGCTAAGACGTGAGTTACTCGGGATTGTATTGTATGGACACAGGAGTGCTGGCTACAGGGTAGCTACTAGTCGGGCACACCCGACTAGATCACTCTTACTTGTTTTATATTTTGTTATTCGTTTTAGGGAGGGGCAACGTGGCAATTCTGGAGGCTATGCATCATCATCATCAACAGCATGGCAACATGTTGCAACAATATGCAAGCGCTCTGCATGCATAAAATATTATGCAACACGAGGCGCACAGACAACAGACACAACAGACTAGACGACACTTGGCTGTCTATTTCACAGCTGTTGTCTCTCTTGTTGTTGTTGTCTCTGTTGTTGTTGCTGTTGCTGTTGGCCGGCTGTTGACAGCATTTAGGTCTAATTGAATTGGCATTGCCTGTTCGAATGTTACGTCGTAATCCTGGCTTTAAGAACGCTTTGCTCCCATTTAAGCAAAGCCCATAAATCTGCCGCGCACAGCTTGAGTTATGGCAGGGCGGGCGGGCGTGCGGTCGGTCGGCCAGTTGATCTGGCAGTGTTGCGAAATGCGCCAAGTAGCGCCGCGAAAATCTTGAAAATAATAAAATGACTAGTGCCAGGGCACGATCAAGACCAACTGCTGCCGCCGACTGCTGCTGCTGCTGCAGTAACAATGGAACGGTTGGCAGTTGCTAGATCGGTCGCCTTCACAGTAGTCAGCATTGGGGCGTCTGCAGTTCAACGTTCAAGTGGCATGGTACGCCCTAGAAAAATGAATTGATTCGATTGTTTCGACTTGGCTCCATTCTTTGATTTTTTCCTCTTCTGGTTTTTCTCATTGTTTGCCGCGCGACTTTTTTATCCGCCGAAATCAGAGTCACCCGCGCCCTCAAAAAAGAAATACTAAAAACTGATGATACAATCGCGTTTTTGACTTTGAAAAGTCAGCCAGGCTGCCGCGGCAGCAGCTCGTCTAGAGTCCATTGTTCAATAGCTGCACTCGAAACAAATTTTGTGGCACTTGGCAGCCGAGTTTTATATTCAAGCTTAATTTAATGAATTTTTTTAACAGCAGAAGAAATCATCGTAGCCGGGCTTCAATTGCAGCTGATACTGGCCAAACTGTGGCAGTTCGCTGCCCTTGGGCGTCTCCTGCTGCAGCCAGGACATCATCTGCTCGAGCTTCTCCTGGGTGCCCTCCAGCTCGCCGCTGACCGCGTAGCCACATTGCGTATACGTCATGTAGCCGCGCACATTTAGCTCGTTGGCCTTTTGGGCGGCACGCGGCATCAGGGCCTTGACGTCCGGCAGGAAGAGCTTGTAGGATACCCTGTAAACTGCAATCGGTTCGCTCAGCTCGTAACGCAACGACATGTTTATTGTATATGAAATGGTTAGCGAATAGGCGTAGAAATATTGCCGGCTTTTAATGCAAAACTAGTCTGTTCGTTTACTGAGTTGGTATTGAAATAAATTTTCAAATATTTCAATACCAATTCAATAAACCTGACAACAAATTAACTGACTGCTAATATTTTGCCATTAGTACTGGTTCAGCTAGCCCTTTCGACAAGTCAACTATTCACATAGCAAAATATGTCAAGTTATAAGCTTTTAATCGTCTGAGAAATCTCAATAATGCAAGATTTAAGTGTTTGATAAAACTTCATAATGCCTAAATCTAGAATTTCACGTTTTACAATACTGTTTATTACACTTTTATTATTTAGAATTGTTTGTCAACGGGCGTTTTCCAACACTGTTAACTAACAGTTTAATTTTCATCATGTTGGAATCTGCTTAATATGTTAATTTGAATACTATTTGATAATAATTTAATATTTATTTATTAAAAAAATATACAAAATTTTGGTTTCATCATTTTGTTTATTAAAAAAAAAACAAATTATAAATTATTCAAAGGGAACATCTTTTGAGCTTTTAAGCATTTTACAACACTTAACAAATAATATGCTTCTGATTACAGAGAACTTAGTTGACTTTGACAAACAATTTTATAAAAACAGTGTTGAGTACTGAATCGTTGATGAGATCCAAATACTTGCAAAACTAAAATAAATTTATATTTGATATAAATTTAATGAAAAGCTGAAAGATGTCCGATTCAAGTTCTTTCTCCTCATTTGACAGCGAGAACTATCTGAAAGTGGTCACAGAAAAGGTGCTCACTGAGAAGAAACCTACGGATGAAGCCAAAGGGAAGTGCTCTTCCAGGCAGCCGGATCCTGCTGAGAGCTGCTCTTCAAGCACGGAAAAGGATGAAAATATTGCGTTCTGTGTGTGCCAGGTGTGCCGGGAACGCCGAAAGATGGCCATCGGCAGGGATACCGTATTCAAGGTGGAATTCCAGCTGCACCACTTGGATTCCAACGAACGCGAATTTCTCAAGGAACTGACAGATCGTTGCCGCAAAGCGAATGTCTCCGGCTATATAATATTTACCTATGGACGCGAGGATGCCACCGGCCTGATGGAGGGCGCCATCAAGGACATCAACAAGGTCAAGGATTGGCTGGAAATGAACAACAAATACATACCCGAGCCCATAAGCGAGAACATCTACATCTCCTGGTACATGATTGCCCGGGAGCCCACCAAACTGATCTTCGACGAGCGCACAAACCCGCCAAAGCCGCACACCGTGTCCTCAGACTTTGGTTCCAGCGACTAGTTGCGCCTCTTTCGCGCAGTGTACTGCAGCCCGACTCGTGCTGCCAACAGCATGTACCATTGTTCAACACTATTTGTGCCTCAATCTCTTAATTAAATATGCGACTAACTGGCAGCCAAAGCCGAGCCCGAGCTGCAACCAACAAAAATTAATCAAGAACTAATGCCAAATTCGGCAAGCCGAATATTAAATGCTCTTTAAGAATGTGGCTTCGAGACTCCGAGCCAACCCTGCCTATTGTTTGTATATTATTTATTAATATACTTCGATATGATATGGATCTGCAAATCAGTCGAAAAAACCTCTTAGCGCAGCCCCAAAAGCTGAGCTTGATTAACTAAAATATCTAAAAAGCAACCTTCTAAGGAAAGTATTTTATATCTATTTCTACTACTTATACAAGAGTCTACATGCCAAATGTCCTGTCCCTAGCTTCAAATATCGATAACCATAACAGGGTTATCGATATTTTGAAGCAAATTTGACGCGCGGGGGGCAATGAAACGAGCTACGTTCAAAATATCTAGACTCTAGATGCCAGAGTTCTCGAGATTCCGAGTTCTATGAAAAAGAACAGACTGAAGGACTTGGCTATGCCAACTCGACTGTTGATATAGATATTTTTTTAGAGACTTCTCCGTCTGTGTGTTACATATTTCATGACAAAATTATAATACCCTGTTTTGAGTGCAAAGTCAAAGCGAACAACTCAAAGATCGTCGTTTAGTGTCGAAATTGTGCAAGTTTTTGATTTTTCCTGCTGCTGTTTTGTTGATGATTGTTGTTGTTGTTGTTGTTGTTGCTGTTGTTGTTGTTGTTGTTGCTGTTGTTGTTGCTGTTGTTGTTGTAGCTGGATAATCACAGAGCCCGCGAACAAGAAATTAAATCAGCCAAGGTTATCTCGCATTAATAAGCCCCCATTGGTTTTGTGTTTTTTTTTTGTATTTCGTTTGGTTTACTTTAACTTGACTCCACATCGCGAGCTGCTGCCTTTTTGGCGTCTAGTCAATTATTAAATTTGCAATTTCCGTAGCCTGAACTTTTGGGTCAGTAGACTGATTTAAATCAAAGCAACAATTATTGCAAAAACAAAACAAAATAGCATAACAAAAATAGAGAATCGTAGAGACAAATTGAAAGATACGAAGAACCACAACAAAACTGGCGAAATAGCAAAGCGTGAACGATAAAATTTGACAAATGTTTCGTGGGGGCAACTCTGAGCCTCGCAACGTCGCACAGTGGAGCCTATCGACATTTTTCGTGGCAAAAATCGAACTGTTTAACGTTAGAATATATTAGCACAAATAAATAAGTATTAGAATCTTAATCTCTGCGAAGTTCTCTACCCGCTGTATTCACTCAATTTATCACTTAACCCTCGCACAGTGGGGTCCATCGACATTATTCGTGGCAAAAATGTAACTGTTTAACTGTTAGAATATATAAGCACAAATAAATAAGTATTAGATTAAGATCCAATTTTTGTTCGGCAATGTTCTCTATCCTGCTTTCATTCATTTTACCTCCCCAACATTGCACAGTGGAGACTTTTGACCTTTTTGATGGCAAAATATGTTTTACAAAATCCAATTGCATTAAATTAATCTCAATCTTAATCTCTGCGAAGTTCTCTAGCCGCTGTACTCATTCAATTTATCCCTTCACCCTCGCACAGTGGGGCCTATCGACATTTTTCGTGGCAATAATTTACCAATAATAATTTGCCAAGCGTTCAAATATATCTTAAACATAACAAGCATTAGATTGATCTTAATCTCTCAGGAGCTCTCTATCCGCTGTAAGTACCCTCGCACAGTGGGGTCTTTTGACTTTTACATGACAAAGTTGCTAAATTTTAAAATATTTTGTCGAAAACATAAAAAACGCTAGATTATTAAGCTCTGGGGAGTTCTTAACCGCTGTTTTCATACATTTTAACAAGACTACTTCGCACAGTGGGGTCTGTCGACTTTCTTCACTGCAAAAATCTGAACTTTTGAACGGGATAAGATATTCATGAAACACGTTCAGCAATAGAATGTTAATCTATCTTTTTGGTCAGTTGTCATTTATCACATTTTTCTATTAACATTTTGATTTTTGCCAATATTTTTGGCCCTTGGCCCCACTGTGCTGGGCAACACAACGGATGTGGCCAAAGTTTAAAGTGCTTTGGGTGTCTTGGGTGAGGCCGCGCACACACACACACACACACACACACACACACTCGGGTTGAGCTAAGTGGCTTTCCATGACATTTTATTGACACTTTTTTTTTGTAAACCACCCCACCCCGCCCAAGAGAAGACCTGTTTAAGCTTTTCGGCTTCGATTTTCTCAGTCGACTTAACACATTTGACGAAGATGTCTATGCCAGAAGAGACGTGTCATCAATGGAGCTTAGGCACCCACACGGAGAGATCCAAGAAAAGCACTTGATAAGGCAACTCCGATGGCTCGTTATAAGCCTGACATTTGAGCTATGAGTCGAGGCAGAGAGAGAGAGAGAGAGAGAGAGAGAGAATCCATGCCGCATGGATGTAGTCTTCGGAGTTGTGTGTAGGCGTCTCTCAAAAATAATAATAATTAAAAATCATTTTAAATGCGGAAATGTTACCGCAAGCTTAATGCCAAGCCGTGTTCGACAAATATATCAGATTACTTGTTTTGGTTACTTGAAAGAAGAAGAAAAAAAAAACATTACAGAAATAGAAATAGAAAAGAAAACAACTCGCGAGCAGATCGGACGGATCGGGCTGATCAGGCCGTGTAGGCAGATGACCACGGACTGCTTCGGCTTGATTCCATTGAAAAAGATTTATTTCTATGAATAATTGAATTCCCATAACGAGACTGGAGCAATAAAGGCGAAATAGTTCAGCTTTGCTGTGCTTTATGTGAAATTACTTTTTCTTTAATCTTAAATGTCAACATAACCTCAATCGAGACTAAAGTGAGGTTAGGTTCAGATGAACCCAGGCCTGTTGTTACCCCCAAAATTCATTCTAGAGCGTATCAAGCCGCATTTTTATTATAATAATATTATCTTTATTCTTAAAACATGAATACTTGGAATACATAGTTAAAATAGTTAATCAAATCATTTTTGGTGCTTCTCTGAACCTTTCCTTTTAATATTAAATTAATAAATTTGATTTTAAGCTTAAACTAGATTTATTCTCAAATTTCATCATTTTATTTACAACTGAATTTTCATATGGATTTGCTGATTTTTCACTTAACATTGATTTATTTGAATAAATAAAAATCCTCATACATTTCTTAACGTATGAAAATTGTTTACAGATTAATTTTCATGCAGATCTTTGGTTTAACCCCAAAACTTTGCCCATAATACCTTTGAAGTCCATTTTCCAGATGATATTGCGAAGAGTGTGAAACACGTCCCAAATGATTTATCACAAAGATCCTTGCAAGTAAGTTCAAAGCCGTTTTCCATTTTCCACCCATTTTCCACAGTTGCGGGTGGTTTCGCCTTCAATGCAATCCAGTCGCTTGATTGAAGCTGACACTATTTTAAAAACAAGAAATATTACTTCAACAGTCAACAATGTCGTTCGATTCAAGCATAAACAAACGATTTGCTGGCAACTCGTAATTATATAATATTTAACAATTTTTAAGCTATACTTAAGCGCATTTAATTAAATATGGATTGCACTTAATAATAGCACAGTGCGCGAGTGTGTCCGGTGCTTCGCCTGGTCCAAGCCCGCCGAAAGAGTGCGAAGTGACCTCCATGACAAGGCATAGCCGGACACGCCCAAGAATGTGCCACAGCTGGAGGCAGTACGTCCAAAAGTATTTCCATTTTCGC